ACGGCGCAGCGCAGCGCAGCCGACGTGCGGTGGCCTCGTGCGCAGCTCCAACAATAAGCGTGGCCTTCGTGCACATGGGCGCCGGTGCTGAGGACGACGAGGCTGAGCTGCTTGCACTATGCGAGAATCGTTGTCGCTGGGATGTTGCCGGTGAGCGCGTTGCTTGACACGTCTAGCAGCGTTAGCGCGGTGATGCCGCCGAGCGCGGTAGGATCGGTCCACAGAGCATGTTGCAAATAATTACCAATATAGCCTCAATAATAAGAATCAAATTTTGTAAATAATCTTTCTAAATTAAATAACTAGAAAATAGAAAAATCGAAAGTACCTACAAGTATCGTGGTACTTTTCCGACCACCGTAAAAGAGCTCAAACAAAAAATGTAAGAAGGCTGGAGGAGGGAGGATGCAACAATTGTGAACTCAGTTCTCTAGGGCCTGAAATCAGGGTGCAGGGGAGGGCACAAAACGTCCAAGCGTCCTGAAGACGAGGATTTGGGGAAAAGAAGGAGCAAGGGACCCTCGAGGATGAGGGCGGTCTCATGGGTTGACAGTGACCGTGCACAACGAAACCAAACAAGTCTGCATGCTTTTCTTATGGTGGTAGTTGCCGATTGCCGTGCGTGCGTGTGAATATGATGATGGCGGATTAATCGCCCTCCCTTTGCTTACTCGTCAATCATCAATCATCATCAGCAGCAGCAGGTAACTAATTCATGCTAAAATAGAGGGAAAGGGAACCCTGTAGCCTAACAGCAGAAACTAAAGCAGAGAATTTGGCAGTCAGGAAACCAGGCAGGCAGCCAAGAACAACTCTGAAAATGCATGCTATGCTCGCGACAGGACGACAGGTGCAACGACCTTGGAGCAACCTGGTCGGTTTCGAGCCATCCTCGTCTTCATTTAAAATTCGAGGCTTGCAATTGCAAGACGCCTTGGGTTTTTTTTTTTCTCTTTCAGCCTTCAACAGATATACTCCTACTAATGTGCCTTCATTCCTTCAATAGAGACGCTCGTTCCTTGCTCATTCGGTGACAGCAGACGCTGTCTGAATAATATGCAGCGACTGATGGAAATAGAGAGAATCATCTGCATTTGCCATGTCACCCTCCATGGTAAAAAAAATAGAAGAGAATGTGTATACACCTCCATCATCTCGATACCATCGTTTGATTTTGGTGGTTGGTGCACACTTTAGCAAACACGGCAGGAATGCTGCGATTAGTGTCGACGCAGCAGGGACCAGTAAGCAGCACAGCCAGCTGGAGTCTACTAGTGTTTAGCAGAAAACAAAGGAGAGTCTACTAGTGTTTAGCAGAAAACAAAGGAGAGTCTACTAGTATTTAGCAGAAAACAAAGGAGAGACGACGACACGAGAGGCTTCATTTTTTTTAACTTTTTTTTTCTTTTCAAAATGGCTCTCGACGTGCAGGCACGTATGTACCGTATGCTGAGCTCTACTGTATTACGTATTATTCAACTGACCTTGTTCAATCAAGGTGTATATCCTTTTTTTATATTAATTAAGGTGTATATCCTTGTAATAACAATAGCTTCAACCGGCACCCATGTTGACCTTAGCTCAACAATCGTGTTCCAGAATGACGTCTCCGATGATGGATTTCTCCCTCGGCAGCAAACCACGAATGCCTGCATATATATTAGTACTACTAGTAGAACTAATGTACTACCTCAATTTCGAAAAAAGAAACACTTCTAAGTCTGTTCAAATTTAAAATATCTTATATTTAACCAAATTTATAAGAAATAGTATCAACATGTATGAATTTAACCACCGACAGCAAGCTAGACTTTGCCTTTGACCTAAGTCACTATAAGCCAAAACTCCTATCCAGTCAGCATGTTCATCCAATCATCGACCGCCACATCACTTGTCAGCTTCCAATTGAGCCCAGTCAGCAGCCGGACATGGCAATCTTGTAATATATATACCTTCTATCAGTCAAACTAAAAATTGTTTGATCTAGCACTATCTCGTTTCTAGAATGGAGGGAGTATCAAAGATGCAGCACTAGTGCTGTTTTTCTTGTATATTAATTTTGTTGTTGGTTAGATAGAAAATATTGCTAGCTTGATTCCCTGCGTCTGCGTGTATTTTTTTATGAAGTCAGTTGCTACGAATAAACTAGCGGCTGCTGCGGCTGAACAGTGGTCATCGCGAAACAGAAACAGTACGTACATCACTTTCAAATACTACTAGGTTTATTTCGATGATCGAAGGAAGATTAGGCTCAGGCGCTGTCAGATGAGATGCTTGGTGGCTTGGTTGCTTTCCTACCCAATACCCATACCAGAAAGAAAGGAGTGCTCAAGTTTTGATCTTGAATTGATTGAACTGCAGGAAGAAAAGGGAGAAGCTGCATTTCCGCTCTGCTTTTGCCATGTCATCCTCCACGCTCAAAAATCACAACAGAATATGTAGGGGAGTGTGTCCCGTCCCATTTTTACACACACACACCTCAATCATCTGGACCCCAGCATTTGGAGGTTGGTGCACACTTTAGCAAACACGGCAGCAATGCTGCGATCAGTGTTGCCGTGTCGGTCAGCACAGCCAACTGGAGTCTCTAAAACGACTTATAATTGAGTAGTATTTAGACCAGTAGTAGCAGAAAACAAAGGAGACACGAGAGGCTTCAGGCTCTCGACGTTCAGACAATTTCAAATACTATATAATAGGTTTATTTCGATAATTGCGTGTACTAAATTATTATCACTAAATTGATGCAGAATTGGTTGACCCTGCCTGTTCCGTGGACTGCTCGCCAAAGCAGCCGATTGGCGACCAAATAATATAGAATAATAGCGTTTGTTACTCTTTCGTGCTACTATAGGCGACTGCCGAGCCGAGGTCGCTGTGTGTCTGTCTGTCTGAGAGAGTCGTCGTCTGAACAGAAACGGCGAATAATCAGAATCAACCAATTCTATTGACCGAACCAAACCAACCAATGTGAGGTCGTCGATCGCAGTTGCAGAAAGAGTCATCCACTAGTGCACAGCACAATGCAGTGTCCCTGCCCGGCCGCTCTCCTCTTCGTTCAGATCGGCCTGTTTGGCTGGTATAAAGCCCGCTGATAAGTCGGTGTCGGGACCTAATACCGGGTGCCTAATGAGTTGGAATTAATGATCATCGAACGTTGACACTTCCAATCGGATGAGAACGCTACTGCGTTTCTTGCCCAAACGACGGAAGACTGGTTCCGCCTCGCCCGACCTTCGAGGCATAGGCTCTGCCTCGCCCGGCGGCTAAGGGTTGACTCCGCCTCGCCCGACGTCCGAGGGCGGACTCCGCCTCGCCCGACGGCCAAGGGCTGGCTCCGTCTCGCCTGACGTCCGAGGGCGGGCTCCGCCTCGCTCGACGGCTAAGGGCTGGCTCCATCTCGCCCGACGGCTAAGGGCTGGCTCCGCCTCGCCCGACCCCCCAGGGCAGACTCCGCCTCGCCCGATGTCCGAGGGCAGACCCCGCCTCGCCCGACGGCTGAGGACAGGCTCCGCCTTGCCCGACGGCCGAGAGCAGGCTCCGCCTCGCCGGGCGAGTACACCCTGCTCCTTCATAATGATGAGCACAGGGTACGACATGACATTCAAGTCAAACGCAGCAACAAAGACCATGCCCTGCACAGCCGCAGGAAAGTACCGTCAAGGTACGACGGGATGGGCGCTTTAGACCATTCTAGGTATGGCAGAGTCCGAATAGTGTTGTAGGCGCCGCCTTCAGCCCTCGGGCGCAGAACCTGACATAAACATACGACAACCACTACGGTCCAAGAAGAGACTCGCGCCCTCTACAGTGACGAACGTACAGTCACCGCGCCGCCCGCCCCCCACAGGGCTACAGGTCAACACCCTTGTCCGACACGCCGCCCGAGGGGGGACGAGACGTGACCACTTGCTGATCAGGTAAGGGCGTGGCGTCGTCAGCACAAAGGCGTCCGGTGAACGTGCCCATCCCTGACATCGTTTGGCCATGTCAGCGAGGCTAGCTCAGCGGAAAAGGGGGACCCAACACCTTTGGAGGGGCTTCTTGGTCTCTGGTTTTTCTCCTTTCTCCAACACGTAACCCATGTTCATCCTTGGTCTATAAAAGGAGGGAACCCCGCTAAAGGGACGGATCAACTCACAGAGAGATAAACCGACACGATTCAACAACACACATCACATACAGCTGAGCAGCGACTAAGCTCTCGGCGACCTGTCGATCATTCCATCAGAGACTTGGGACCCGTCCCTCTCTCGATCGTTTGTATCCCCTACTACGAACCATTTTCGGTACTAATAACACAAGCAACAGCAGACCGGACGTAGGGACGTTCAGCCCGAACCAGTATAAACCTGGTGTCCTTTAGTGCACCATCCGGACTTAACGCGCAACAATTACAAATTTACTAGCCGGTGTTTATTCGAAACATCGATAGTCAGCTAAAACTGTTTTGTTGTAAGAGAAAAATCCTATATATTGTAGCTGATAAGTTGAAGCGAACAGACCCGCCACTCACCATCAGCATCAGTCCAACAACACAACGGACAAGGTCGTTTCGGTGCGTTGACGCTGCTGCTGCTGCTGCTGCGGTCGTCGTACGCGCTTCAGCTCGCAACTTGTTTGTTTGGGACAGTGAAAGCGGCAAACGGTAGTGGGATTCCTCAAATGGCACCCGTGCGTCCGTGCGTTCAAGTTCAAATTCAAATTCAAACCTCCAACTGCTCAGCGGAGTGGTTGGTGAGCCGGCGTTCAAATGGCACGCCGGCGTTCACTTTCCCTGTGTCGGCGGTCACAGTTCAAACGACAAGTCCTTTCAAATCGTATACATCCAATCTGGAATCCATCCAGCGAGCGATCCGTTTCAATTTCAAACCGGACAATCCAAGAATTTAACCAATCAAAGAACTGTTCTTTGTTTCTTTATGTTATTTCCCCCAAATTCAGTTTGGGAGGTTCTGTACTGTACATGATGAAAGAACGAACATGAACAACTGAACAAGCTATTTAGCCGGCTTGGTAGTGGCGTCGCCGCCGTCGGGGAGCTCGAGGCCGTAGAGCACGCCGGCGCACACGTCCAGGCTGCCTTCCTTGGGGAAGTAGAGCCTAGCCATCTCCCGGAAGGTGTCCCACGTGAGCACGCTGTCGGACGCGGCCTGGTGTCCCCGTCCGGCGGCGCGGCGCACCCGGAGGGCACCGGCGACGCGCTCGAGCCCGCCGAGCAGCGCGACCTCGCCGTAGGAGTCACAGGCGACCCTGGCCATGTGCTTGACGTCGTACACGGCGGCGCCGAAGTACACCCGGACGTACCGCAGGAACTCCGGGAGCGCGCGCGGCAGCTTCCGTCCCATGAGCACCTTGACGAGGTACGCGAAGTCGTAGGCGGAGCAGAAGGTGACCCACGCCACGCCGGGGTTGCAGACGAGCCCCGACGACATGAGCAGCGCGGCGAAGGCGCGCGCGGACACCCCCCTGGCGCGGTGCGCGGCGAGGTCGACGCCGCTGGCGGCGAGCAGGCGGACGGAGTCCGGCGCGTGGCGGTGCACGCGCGGGTCGAACTCGCGGAGGTTGATCTGGAACGCGAGCGCCGGCGGGGACGACGGGGACGCCGCGAAGGCCAGCCCGACCTGGATCAGGTGCAGCGCGTCGACGTTGGACTTGAGGAGGGTGTAGCGCTGGGACGGGGTGAGCGTGGAGTGGTGGACGGAAGGGGGTGGGTGGTGGATCACGCCCGGGAACTCCGTGTCCATGGACACGTAGGGGAACCGCTCGATGGCCGCGCGGATTAGCTTGAATTCGCGCTCCACGTTGTCCGCCCATACCTCCCGGATCTCCAGCGGCTGCGGCGGCGGGTGGGGATGGGGCGGAGGCTGCTGCTGCTGCTGCTGGGTGTAGTGGTGGTGGTATTGGTGGTGCTTCGGCTGGTACTGCTGATGGAGGTGCTTCGGCCTCCACCCGCCGGCGCCGCCCACCTCGACTGAAGGCATGTCGGCGTCGCTTGCTTAATTACTTGGATCTGATCCGATCGATCGGGGGGTTGGATGACTGAGTCGAACTCGATTGCTGGATTTGCACGGCGGACGGACAGTCCGGAACCCAGGAACTTGGGATGCTGCTTCGGTCGATCTTCTCGCTAAAGGAGGCGCGAAGGCTGTGGAGCGATGGTGGTCAGGGCAGCCGGGGTTTTATAGGATGGGGAAGGGGGCGAACGGCCCAACGGGGACAGGCGGGACTCAGGTGGGTGCGAGGAAGCCGGCGGGCGCGTGGAGATCCGTGCGGCAACTGGGATCGACGGTGGGTGGACGCTGGACACGGCACGCGTTTATGGCGTGCGGGGCGGGGAGTAAAATTGTTAATGATTGGGCGCGTCCGACCCGACCACCAGGCACCAGCCATCAGACCAGGAAGGAGGAACGAACCCCTATCCATCCATCCTCCAGGCCAACTCCAAGCCAAGTGATTTGTTTTTGTTGGACGCACCTGGACTGGCTTCGTGTTATGTTCAACGCAGGCCGACTTAGTCTGCGATATATATGTATATTTACGCAAGGAAGGCAATAGGAGGTAAGGAATTTCACAAAAGAAAAAGGAATTTATCTCCCAGGCAACGGCAATCGAGTGAGTTCAATGCACCCAGACCCGGAGTCCAGGTGCTGTGTGCATCGCTAAGCAAACCGGTTCATTTACGTGCACTGTGCCCAGACTGTCTTCCTGCGGCCACCGTTGCATCTCCGGAATCGGCGGCGTTACGTGCCGACGGCGGCAAAGGATCCTTCTTCCGGTCACTCTGCACAAGGAAGCAGGATGACTTAGATAGATGGCTAGGATTAGGAAGGAAGGAGCCGCCGCACACAACACTTTGCATGCAGTGCACTGTCGGCATGGGTCCTGCACGCCGCGGTCTCCTCCATCCCATTCCCGGGATTGCGTATTGCGCTTGCGGCGCGGCTTTCCATAGAAATTTCGCCGTCCCCCGAGCCCCGCGTAGCACGCCACCCACTCACTGACTGCTCGGCTGGAGCTCCCGCGAACCACCGTTTCGGTCTCCGACCGTCTACGTCTTTGCGCACGGAAGACTCCACAAGTCCACGTCCACGTCCACATCCACTACTCCACAAGGAGTAGTCGTAGTATACGGAGGAGTATGTGGCAACGTCTAGCCTGTTCACTCGGTCATATTCGACTTATAAGGCATGATTTATCAACCAACGAACAATATTTTTCTCTCATATCAAATCAATTAATAATACTTTCAGTTATAAATTATAAGCCAAACAAACTCAAACGAACGGGGCGGTCGCCCCTCGGAGTCGCAGGCCAGTTGCTGTGGACGCAGTCAGTCCGGATGCCGGCGGCCTCCGGGATTGACCGGTTAAATAAAACTGCTCCATCACCATCAGTGCATCTCCACCGTAACGGCAGTGCTCCAAGATGGATGCGGGCGACGCGGTCTGCACTCTGCAGCCATCACTCCACTCGATTCGGGCTCAGCTGCGGGCTTTTCCGATCGAGATTCCCATCTGAATCGGAACACGCCCCCGGCCCGTCGAGTCGACTGCCTTTGCCCTGCTTTCTCCAAAATTCTTCTTTCTTCTCCACACGATCGATGACGCGTCGACGCCCAAGACGAAGGCGAGGACTCAGTCCAGTCGTCGTCGTCTGCTGCTGTCTTCCTCCACCACAATCTCTCCAGTCTCCGCAGTAGGAATAGGAAGGAGTATGTGGCTTAATTTAGGTGGACTGGTTGGTGAGCAGCTTAACGGCGACGCCACGCCCACACACAAGACAAGGATACATACATGCGGCCCAAGTCTCGACTATCTTTGGACCGCCGCTCGTACGGTTGGTGAGCTGTGTGTTTGCAGGGCTGGCTGCATCGTGCGCCGCCGCGCCTAAACCAATGGCCTTCGTTTCTTTTACCTTTTTAAACGGTTTTTTTATCAAAATAATGCCTCTTATAACAAATTGCGCCAAAGATTTGACCAAACGTGAACGGACCCAAACATGCTTTCAGACAGTTGCAGTCCACGTGAACGCCCCCTGCACTTTCCTTTCCTGTCCGTTCCTTCTTCCTGTCACCAAACTCAACTCCACCACACACCCAAGCAGCCAAGCACCATACATATTGAGATTTGAGAACACACACACAGAGACATATCCAAAAGAGTTTAATACAACTGACGCATATGCAATTTGCATGCAACCAGAAAACTATTTTTTTTTAAAAATAATATCCGAGATGGGACGACGAGAGACACACGTCGTGCATTGAGAGTTGAGATCACACACAGACATCCATCGGGGGTGCTCTGCTCTGAACCCTGAACCCTGAGCTGAGTAGCTGACACGTACACGGTGATCGAGCTACTGGTGGTGGAATTTAATCGGAGAAGAAGAAGGTGCCTTCGGGGGGCTGGGGCAGCCTGCGGTTGTGCGGCGCGGCCATCTCCTTCTTGAGCTGCGTCAGGAGGTGCTCCATCGTGTACTCCCGCCGCCACTCCCGCAGCGTCGGCAGCTTGTCGGCTTCCACCACCCCGGTGTCCGGGTGGACGCAGGCCAGGTTGATCCGGGAGTGGAACCGCACGGCCGGCGGCTTGTCGGGGTAGTCCTTGTCGCACACCAGCTTCAGCTGGTAGATGCGACCCTCGTGCACGCACTGCATATGATATATATGTGCATGTGGGAAACTCATACGATAAACTACCTAGCTAGAGGAGACTTGTATGGATGGAGTAGTACGTACGTTGAGCGGGCCTATGATGGTCCCGGTCCATGAGCGCATGACGATGTCGTCGCCGTCGTCCATGCCGTAGCTGACGCTGCCGTCGCCGATGCCCTTCTCCCCGCGCTCCAGCTCCTCCAGCAGCCGGAAGTATGCACGCGCGCGTGGTCAGAACTCACAAGTCAGAACTGACGAGGACGGGAATAAAGTAGTGAAGCTGCTGCATGCCATGCCGGGAAGGAACACAGTCAATAGTGGGGTAGGTACCGACGACGGTGTCGGAGGCGGCGGAGCCCATAGTCATGGCGGCCGGCCGGCCGGAGCGGAGGACGGAGGAGAAGCACAATGCGAGCAGCTCGATCGGCGAGCCAAATAACTTAGGTGGGCGGGGAACGGCCGGCTCGTGCTTTGAGCATTAAAAGGAAGGGACGCGGACGCGCACGCAACAAGGGCAAGGCCACTTGAGTTGCTTTCGCCTTTTCGCAGCTGCTACCGCTGCATCTGTGCGTGCATGCGTGCGTGCGAACCACGCAGCGGCGAGCTGCTGCGATGAGATGCCCGGCCTTCCCCCGCCCCTGCCACTGGCCACTCGATCGGCCGGCAGGCAGGCTCCACGCCGGCCCCTCGCTCCGAATCATCTCCACCTTTTCTTTTCCTCTCTTGAGTGTTGCCTACTTTTTTCGTTCCATTCATTCATCTTTTGCTTTGTCAACGGTTCGTCATGGACTTTTGTTTCATCTCTTGCGTTTCTGGGCCAAAAAGTCTCCGGCCCACAGCTGCTCCCTGCGTTTGTATTCCGGATTTCCGGTTCATCAACGGACACATGCTTCCGCCGGTCGTCATTAGCCACCTGCAGGGAGCCACACGCCCACACCTCACACAATCTCGCGGCTCACGTGACGTCACGTGTTCTAAAACCACCATGCTTGTGAATCAAATCAAACATAACGCAAAACACAAAACGTTTCACAAAATGATTTCGACAATAGTTGAGCGAGATAAATTAAAAAAAAAAACTAAATAAAGACATGAGGCCTTGCATCGCATGTAGGTCAGTGACACATCTCGAGCTAGGTTGACGGGAGGCAGCCCTTTGCTGTGGCGGCCCTGTCACATCATATCTACATCCCTCCATGCACGGATGGATGGAAAACACACGCACGGCATATATAGAACTAGTGCAGGACGCGCGCCATCGAGCGCACAGGAAAGATTTCGAATATGGAGAATATACAGACTGCAATATAAGAAATAATGTCGGCACATATAAATCAAGGATGTGCATAGGTTTATATTACATCCACTGCTGAGTGATAAGAACCCACAACGAAGGTATTCAATCTAGATTTATAACTGTGTTTGATAGTAAATATGCGCAAAGAAAGTGCATCTACATAGTTTGACACAGCAACAGCTGAACCCCCTCTTCAAATCAACCCCAACAAAGAGAGCAAAGTTTCTTTCTTATTCACTGTCATCAATAGCACTATTTAGTTGATCTTGACCAGCATCCCCTGAGCACCATTGATATGACCCTTCATGTGTAGATCCCCATAGACTTTGACAGAAACTGCAGCAGGACAACACAAGGCAATGATTTTTTGTATGACATGGATGTACACAATATTGAATTACCATAAAAGAACAGTTAGTAGACAAGAAACAACTGGCTGGGAACTGGAAATAATGAGGAAGCAAAGTCTAGCATCTTTTAAAGAAAAATAGAGAGCAAAAGGAAACTGAAAAATTACTGGGCTCAAAATAAGAAAAAACTATGTAGAAGATGAAGAAAAAGTAGCAGTGTGACCAACCATTTTCTGGAGAGCTGATCCTTCACAAGGGCTTGGCATGTTATTAATGATGTCATTCAGGCTTATGGTAAAAGCCCAACAACCTGATGATCTCAAGAATGGAGGATTCTCAACAAGGCCATGCGAAGCTGAGCGGAATTCTATGAATTAAGAAATTGTGAAGAACTATAATATCAATTGGAACTAAATGCAACAAAGACAGACTACTGCTATGGAAGCAGCACTCACCCATTGCCTGCAGGATGTAATTAACCACCTTGCCTGCGTGCCCTGACCTGCAGGCTGCACCACCGCAACCAGATAAAAACCCGGGATGCTCTGCAGTTTGAACCACATTATTGGTGACAATCAAAATAATTACAGACAACTAAAATGTGGATGCACATAGTTTTTTTTTAGGGAGAATGCACATAGGTTCTAGCTAGAACGACTGGCCAACAAAAAGTAAAAAATA